AAAATTAAGTAAAGAGAAGAAATCTCATTAAACATGTAAAATTATAGGCATAATTTTCCTCACTTTACCAAATATACTTTCTAAAATGTAAAAATTCTAATTGCGTAATAAACATTTCCAAGTTAAATGAGGACTAAACCTTCCAAAATACATATAACATTTCAACAATTGGAAGAATAAGGTTGGAACAATTAGCCCTTTTTGAATGAAAATGCAAGAATTTGAAGAACTTTTGGGCCATAGTGAAATATTGGAAAAGATTTTAGAAAAAATTTTACAGAGTTTCTCCTTATAAATGGATGAAAACTCCCTGCCAACAAACCCAATTTCAAGCAAATTATCCACATGGCAAACATTTCAAACACAATTCCAACATTTCTAAGCATTTAAATCCACAAAATATCATCACATAGGCTTAAAATGCAAGTTCAAATATTTCCTCCCCCACACTTAAACTTCACATTGTCCTCAATGTGAGAAAAGGAAAATAAATAAAGAGTAAAAGAAAATACTGCTCAATTGAACTTGCGTAATCAGAATCCATGGCCAAGTGACGAATTTCCAACCGTATTTGAGAAAGAATGGAGAGTTCACTTATTGCACCCTGAAAAAGACAAAATCAAAACAAATAAATTTCTTAAAAATAAAAGGTTGCAATCAACAAAAAGAAAACATGCAAGTCAAGGAAAAAGGAAAGATGATCAACCATGTGGAACCATACAATGTTCAAGGGATAAAAACATGAAATGAGCTAATCCTTGCTAATCAAATATATGCATTAGTATCCAAAGCAAAGGGAAGCTAATTTCACACAAAAAATCCACAATCATGAACAAAATAAGTTCCATTTATACATTTTGTCATCAATGATCAAATCCCCACAAGTACAAAAGCAATCTCAAAATGGAGACAAACACACCAAGCCAAAATATAAATGACCTTCTTGAGAATTCATGAAATACTAAAAACCATTGAACCACAAGGATTATAAGTGCATTTATGAATTTCAACAATTAAGGCCATTTTCTCTTCTTTTAGAATTACCTAAGAATTCAAGAAATTATTCAACCAAGCACCTTTTCATTCATTAGGTAATCTAAATTACTCACATGAATATCATAAACTCCCACAAAGCTAATTAAAATGCTACATTGGCCACTTAATATGCAACTTGGTCATCAAGCCAAATTAAGCATAAAACTAGCAAGAATTCACCAAATAAGTACAATAAATGCAAATCACAAAATATAGTTATCACTAACAATCACCAATAGCATCAATAAGCTCAAATAAATGCACCTAACTTCACATATTAAAAATTGCCTAAAAATAGAAAATATTCATTCATGGCAAAATTCAAATAACAAAGTTAGGTGAAGAATTGTTACCTCAAGGTAGTTTGGTGATGTTTAGAGATGAATATGATGTGAAAACCCCCAAGAAACTTACTCCAATTTGACCTCAATTGAGTGATTTCAAGAAGGTAGAACCCTAACTAATGGTAAGCTTGAAACCACTTTAGAGTTGTTTTTGAAAGAATATGAACTATGAAATTCACTCTAGAGGATGGGAGAAAGTGATTTGGTGAAGGTTATTTGAAGACTAAATGGTGAAAAATGGTGTTTTAGTGAGTGGTGTGTGTTTGAGGTGTTAGTGTGTGAGTTGGGTTGAAGAAGAAGGGAGAAAAATTGTGAGAAATCCGTGAAACGGATTCATCTTACACTGGTTACTGTTCACAATCCGGCCAGAAATTGGAGGGATTCGTGGAGGGATTCTGGGCAGAATTTTTTTTTTTTTTGTTTTTTTTTTTTACAATCCGGCCAGTTTTTGGCCGGATTTCAGGCCGGATTCTATCCAGAATGGTCGAAAAAATTTTCTTTCTCCCCTGACTATCGGCCTTCAATGCCGGCCAACATTGGCCGCGATTTATTGGGCCGGATTTCACTTGCAGAAAAAGCTGTTTTCTGCAGTTTTTCCTCCAAATTTGCTTGGCCAACCTTCCACATTCAACCTACTTCATGTTCTTTGAATAAAATTCAAATTTAACATGATCATGCATGAATATAACTTAAACATGAAACACTTTAAATGCATGAAATGCAGCAATTGAACATGAAAACTCCCTTTTTGCCTTAATATAAACACCTTTACAATTGAGATCATTTGCATGAACTCTTGCCATTGCCACCTACAAAACACACAAAAATATTAATCGAACAACTAAAACTTACTAAAAACAAGCCAACATGAAGAAAAGTGGAGTTGAAAAGTGATCCAAGCCTTCGTTTTTAAAAGGATCCGAGGTCGTTTTTGAAAGGATCCGAGGTCGGATCATGATGATTGAGCTCGGATCAAGAAACTCGAATTTTTTCTGATTGCAGAAGTGGATCCGAGGTCTTGGATCCATATGGATCCGAGCTTGGATCCAGAAGCTCGAAGTTTTCTCTGATTGCAGAAGTGGATCCGAGGCCTTGGATCCATTGAATCTGCACTTATTGCAGAATTTTTGCAATTTTCAGTTTGACCTCAATTCTTCAAAATACACCCTGGATCATTTCTATGTCAAAATAAATCGTTCACGCACATGTAAAATGATCTAAACATGCATTCTAAACCTCTTTAATGCATCAAAAACCATAATTACTGAATTTGAGGTATTGAGATCTTTGATCAAACTTCGTCTTTTCACCTCATTTGGTCACTTTTGTATCTTTTTCCAAAACCTACAAATGAAAAACAACAAAATTACTCAAACTTATACTTTAAACATAAAATCACTCCAAAGTAACACCAACTTAAACAAGCATTGGGTTGCCTCCCAATAAGCGCTTCTTTAAAGTCAATAGCTTGACTATTTCACCTCATTTTTCAAGGAGGCTTAGTTAACGAATAATCCACCATTTTAGGCCTTGGTGGATCATTGTAAGGTGACTCAATAGAAAAAGCCACATGATCTAATGATCTGAGAGATGGAAGTGACTTACATATTCCAAGTGTTTCATAGATATTACCTTGAATATACACCACTTGAGAACTTATCAAAGGAGATGCAATGAGAGTATCTTGGGCAGGAATACCTTTAGAACCTATACTTTCAATGCACTCCTCAAGAGGGGTGAAAAATGAGTTATTAAACTCACCTCTTGAGGCTCAAAGTTAGTTCCAAAGTATTTATCATGTGAATGATATTTGCCTCATTAAAACCACTCTTGAGCAATTCATTCATTTTCATCAAAATGCAACCATTTTCACATAACAACATTCGCCACCATTTCATACTAGGGATCATTTTGCTCATTATTTAGGTAGGAAATAACTTCACACAATGCCACTCAATTGCTCATGTATTCTACCAAAGTGAGAGCTAATTCATCTATTCTTTCCTCAATCCTGTCAAAACGGTCAGAATTTGCATTAGCTAATTTTCTAAAGCTCAACTCCCAGATGGCTTAGATCATTAGCTACCATTTTTAATTGCCCAACTTTCCCAAGATTGATTTTGCATTCATATTGGACATATTCAGGTTTGGTACATCTGTTAAAATATTGAGGAATTTATTATAAGTACATTGATATATTCCCAACCATAAAAGGAATTTTAAAATCTAAAAGGGAGATCATGTCCGCAATTAGCACGTATATTGATCAAAACAAAGGATTGCTACATGCTCTAATTCATCATAATTAATCCACATTTTGTGCTTGCCATACAGTGTATTAGTAGCATGATAATCTCCACACAAGTCACAAATCACATGATAAGAATTAAAAGTATTAACATTCCTCCCTTGCTCAATTTCATGTATAATTGTGTCCATTTGAACTTGTAACATAATTACATCAAATTTTGCCTTTAAGCACTTCAAACCATCTTCAAAAGACATACCTTCAGTAATTTTTTGTTTACCTCTGTTGAAGGAGCTTTGCACTTGGTAACCATCCATTTCCAAACTTCCATTCCTCAAGCATTGTCTCCAAATTTGACCTACCGTTCTTCATTACCTAAATGTTTAAACACCTCAAAGCAAAATTAGTAAGAAAAATAGGTACTGAAACACATACACATTAAAATACAAAATAACAGGAAATAACATTTCACATTATAACGTAATATTATTGTCTAAACTAATAAGTTGCTCTTCACACGATATTGCCAAATCTTCCCGGCAACGAGCCAAAAACTTGAGGTATTGTTACATACGTAGAAGTTAAAACCCGAATTACACCCGTTCACTGCAAGTATACAGGTCAACTGCGTAGTTTAGGCGTATATATCGGGTCGCATCCACAGGAAGAGTGAACAATTACGGTATTACTAACTTCTCTATTATTTAGACTATCAATTGAATTTATAGAATTTAACCTACTGATAATTATAGCAAAATAACAAATAAAAGCCTCCTTAGGTTGGGCTATCCCTACTCATGCAATGCTACATTTGATCATTGAATACTATCATTTAGGCCTAATTATTGGTTGTATTTCCTTAAACATGTGAAACTTACTTTCGTAGTGGAATCAACTATACTCATAAACTAATCATACCTATTTTCAGGGTTATGAAATTAGATACTAAGTTCATTTCTCATGAAATTACTTGATATGAATCACTAAAAATCACATTAAGTGCCACCTCTCTTTTCGTGAGTCTACTCCCTATGTTTAGCACTTCTTGAACTAGTGTTAAATCTCAATTTTCATTGCAGAAACAACACCTTAGATCATCACAATCAATGGTACCAGATTAATCATGATTTAAGAAGCCAAAGTGCTAAATAACTTGCTCAAATCATAGCAATCAAATAATCAAATAATAAACACTAACAATCATAGAAAGTTCAACCAAACCCAAGGTATAAACTTTAAAAACACATATTAAACACAAAATCCAGAACTTGTATATTAACTAAACTTGGAATCAAATACAAAGATAAAGAGTTTGGAAGGAATACAACCTTTGTCACATGAGCTTTCTTCCTTGCCTTCTTCATCCTCCATCTTCATCCTAATCTAGATAAAGTTATGATAATAGGCAGGACGCTGACAGGAATTGGTTGAAGAAAACAAGGTGCAATCAATTCTTTACTTGTTTTGAACAATTCAATTGTATCTTGGTTATGATCATCTTGGAGGGATTGGACATAGAGCATAAGACCAATAAAAGCAGCACCAGAAGTGCAAAAAATATAGCTAGGAACCTGAAATTCATCAGCTACATCAATCATGGTTGTGGTCATCACATCAAGTAAGAATCCACAAAGACCTTTGATTTTAGAGACGTATTCTCTGACATGAAGTTTCTGAAATTCTAGTAGCTGATTTACGAACAGCCCTCTATGGGATGTCCAGCTATCTGTGTTTTCTGGTTGGGGGAGATGGTGGAAATGGAGGCGTTCGACATTGCAGCCGTCGATGAAGGTTTGGATTTTGTTGGTGCCTTGGGGATCAATAGGCACCTTAATGACCAGAAGTGAAATTGAGAGTTGATTGTTTTTCTCAAGTATCAGTTTGGCCAATTGTATAGATTGTGTCAAATGGCCAATTAAAGGTGCAACAGTGGCCACCAGCACAGGTTTGTCCATTGGACACTAAAAAGAAGAGGCTAAATGCAGCTTTCCGGATCACTTGGGATCCTCGGTGACATGTTTTTCTATGCCAATTCAATGTCACCTATAGTATTGCGCCAAGTGTCCCGTTATTATTTACACTTTAATTTTTTAATAATACAACTTGGTTTGGTTTAACACAAGTGTAAATAATAACAGGACACTTGGCACAATATTATAAGTGGCATTGGATTGGTATAGAAAACATGTCACCGAGGATCCCAAGTGCTTTCCGGATACACTCAACAAAGGTTTGAGCAATATTCCTTCCCATCCCATCCCGTTTATATGGAAACTGCTCATGTCTAATGTGGTTTTGTGCTAGACATGGCCACAGTTTCAAAACCACCGGTTACGGACGGTTTTGATTTTTGTTGAAAGATGGAACTTGAATCGGTCCTTATATGGACCGTCACGGTTCTTAAACCTCCAATTTCGGTATGATTTGATTTCGATTTCTTTCGATTATGGTTCTAATTCTTCTAGTCATACTTAAACACTTGCTGTTAAAATTTTGATTCTAAGAAAATATGGCAATAAATGTAGAAAAAAAATAAGAACTTTATTGTATTATCATGTGCAAGGTCAAAGAAAAAATGATGAGATTTTTATATAAAAAAATACCTCATTGTTAATTAGATTGGATTGTCTTGAAAATAAATTAGTCATGGGTTTAAACTTACTAATGAGATGGGAACAAATTATTGGACTAAGATTGGGACCGGTGGTGTTAGGTGTTGACTATTGATATTGAATTCTAAACTGACCAAATAAGTAAATATTTTTTTAGATAGTTTGAACGGCACTTAAACCACTGGTTTTGGTTCCGATTCAAACTTTTGGGAAACTTAAATCGGAAAATTTAGTCATGATTATGGTTTCAGTTCTCAAAATTTGGATCTAATACCAATTCAATAAAATGCCGATTCGGTTCCCATTTAAATCTAGATTGTGACAACCCCTATTTTGTGCTTCCTCAATGAGAAAAAAAGAGAAAGATTAGAGGAATCTACTATTGCAACATATGTTTCAACACAAAGGAATATTCTAACAAATATATACATGGCATGTCTAACTAATTGTCAATATGTTGTGGATGAATTGGTAATAACTTGGCTCTTGTGTTGAATGCATTTTGCTTTGAATATCGCTACCAGTTAAAGGACCATCGTTGCGTAGCGCTCTCTACCTCTTATTTTCTTCAATTTCTCTCTACTACTTCATCTTTTCAAAAGCCTTTTCTTAGAGATGGAGATCACTCCCATGGATCTCATTTTCTTTTCTTTTTTTTCTAATAAAGTCTCTTCTATGTTTTCTTAGCCAGCGTTTTCTGTTTCTCCTAAGGATTCTTAGTGAGAATTTTCTATTCTTCTTGAGATTCCTATGGAGATTTTTGTGTTTTTTGTTGTTGTTAGATCTGAATTTATTTCAGATTTGGATGTTAGATCTGAAATTTTTTTTGGATCTTGGACATATTTTGACGGGCTTTATCCTCACTACTAGAGTTTAAAACCATCGATTAATAGATTTGGCGATTACAACATTTACAGAAGGGAGCTGTAACGATTTATCTGTTAAAAGAAAACTTGAAATTTCTTGTATTTTTCAAATTTATTCATAATTTTTGAAATCTGTTATGTCTATTAAATTGCAGATCTATACTTTCTAATGCATGTTTAATCTGCCTTTAGAATAGTGATGTAGATCAAATTATGTTAGACGATTTTCAATAATTTATTAATAAATTTTCTTTTTATCAAAAAAGGATCATCGATAGGTGATTTATAAGAATTATGGTAAGTCGTCTAGTGACATATCTTGAACTTAGTAAATATCACCTACTCCTAAACTTTTGTCAAACAAATAATAAAAGTTAAAGACCAAATTAACTTCAGGAAAAAAAGGTGAAGGACTATATATGTTGGCCATTTCTCCAATAAAAAATGTCTATCTAACTAATCAACCAATTGGAGTGAATACGTAATGCAGGAACTAATCAGTGTTAATTGTAGTCAACCAAATATTACGCAAATCACAATCAATATTTGGCATTGGAAGGTGTGGCCAAGATTATCTTTGCTCGTCTTAACTTCAGGTTCTCTCCCGCCTTGGGTCAAGGACGCCGGCTTACTCCTCTCCACAGACAGCGGTAGACAATTTGGAAAAGATCACTCTCTTTCGTGGGAATTGTAAGTTGAATTTGATTACTTCCTCACTTCCTCATTTACAGTTGAAATTTAGAGTGTTTGCCATATAAATCTCCAAACACTCCTTGCTTGCGTAATTGATTACCCAAATGCTGAAAAGTAAAACCAACGTCAGGAACTACTTAATTTAGCCTGCAAAATTACTATTGTTGCACTTTGTCTAAGTGATGTTGATCATTGAAAAATGTGTAAAGAGAATATTTTTCAAAAAAATCCCTTAAAATTTGCAATCAAACGGGACCTTGTTAAATTGCTGTATTATCATAAATTCAAACTAAGTAAGCACTGATGTATATTTAAAGTTGGGATAATTTCACAAACCTCCCTTGAGGTTTTTAACAATTACAAAGAGCTCCCTTCAGATATTAAAAATTACATATACCTCCCCCTACTTTTACTGTTTAGTGACAATATAGGTTCAACAAGATAGATTTCCTTACAAAAATCCTAAATTGCCGTTTTGTACAAAACTAAGAAAGAATAATATAGTATACTCAATTATTTTCTTCATACTTAGCATAAATCAACAAGCCCAATCCCTAACAACCATTTCACGTATAAATTCTAAAATCAAGTAGTTGTCCAAAAAAATCCCAAATTGTATGTACAATATCAATATTTGCCATGTAAAAAAAACACATACACACATAAAAACTCCATTGACAATTAATTTTATACCCCAAAATTAAATATCAATGCTCCAATACCTTTTCAATATAAGCTAATCAGACCTATAATCGCCACTACAACCCTAATATAGTTTTAAAAATATTAATATCTCAAAAGTAGAGAATAAATTCTACCTCCACAATAAAATCATAATAAAAAAGTTCTAATCCAATGAAAGAAATTCTTATGTAATTATTGATATTATATAAAAGTTTTTCTTGACAACAAACAAAATATTATAAATTCCACATCTTTAATTCTTCTTCCTATTTATATCATCAATTTCATTATTTATTTATCTATCACTGCGAGTTTCTTTATTTTCTTCTAATTCAACACATAATCCACTCTCTTTGTTAATTTTGCAACTTCAATTTGCTAATATCCACAAATTTGAAGATAATAAAAAGAGGTAGAAAAAAGAGGAGCGAAAATAGACAGGAGATAGAAAAGAATATATGTTTTTGGGTTTTGTAAATTTATTGCCTTAAATTTAAAATTGTCTATCAAGTGGAGGGAATTATAGGTATTTTACTATGCCAAGAGAGGTAAGTGAAATTTTTTAAACCTAAGGAGGACTGGGTGGAATTATCAAAAACCTCAAGGGAGGTTTCTGTAATTATCCCTTTAAATTTCAAAATTATGCACTATCAAATACTAGAAGGACCTGTGCACGTAACGCTCCAAAACAGTAAGTGCGAAACAGGGCCAAATTAATGGATGGTTGAGGATAGCCAACTTTGTTTTGCCTCTAAAACAATTCTCTGAACACGAGTAGCTCATAGTCTACACAATTTTTCTAAGTACAAAACTCAAGTAAAACAAGTAAGGATTTCATTTTCAAGATGTGCATCTTCGAAATTGAAAATACTAAAAGACTGATTCGATTACAATAATAAACAATCCTTAGACAAATAAGAGAGTTGGTACAGACCTTATTCTATTTCTTAAATATTTGACAGACCAAGGGCATTTGCACTTTCAATACGGCAACCATAGTTTATTGTAGGGTTAATTACATTTACCTCCCTTAAGATTTGACCAAATAATGAATCGATCCCTGAGATTTGACCAAATAACAAAAAGGTCCCTCAACCGTTAGTCTTTGCCGTTGACTGTTAGGGTTAATTATATTTACCCCCCCTGAGATTTGACCAAATAATGAATCGATCCCTAAAATTTGACCAAATAACAGATTCCTCCCCCACACTAACTTCTGTCACTTATATGTAATGGAAATAGCCAAAAGTCTGAATAACCCTTATTGATTTCCATCAAATTTTTGACCTATCGATTTTTGTGTTTTCAGAAAAAAATTTTGGTTAACAGATAAAATTTTGAATCCAACAAATTATTAATTTATTTAACAGATAAAATCAGAGTAAATTTTGAAAGACCTTGTAATGCAAAATTTGCCATACACGTATTTTGTAATTTGGTGAAATAGTATGACAAATTTTGGATTACATGGGGTAATACCCATTATCCCATAAAATACCAGTGCTTTACGACTTTTCTCAATTATATGAACAAAGTACCTATTTTTTCAAAAAATAATTTATTTAAAAGATAAAGTAAATTTAAAATTTCTAGCGAATAAGAGGGTTGAAAATGTAGTACACATTTTTTCTTTTCATAATGTACCAGCTCCTTATACTTTTCCTATATTATATAAATGAAGTACCAGATTTCTATTGACATTTTACTCTATTTATTAGTAACCCATTGTAAAACCAAACTAGCAGAAGGCTTTTCTACACAAAGCATTTTGTCATGGCCGATTAAGTAGTCAAAGGATATTTGAGAATCTGGTAATGGTCTCATTTTTTAAAATCATGTTCGTCTCATTTTTGTGGTGGATTGAGTGAACCTTTACATTGCTTCTATAAATTTTCTTTCATCGCTCAATTGTCGGTTTCCTTTTTTCACTCTACTTTTTTTTTTTCCATTCCTTTCTTTGCTTTTCACATTTTAATTTCTTTTTTGTTTTCTAAGCTTTTCTTCTTTCTTCATTTTCTTTCTTTTGTTCCTTTATGCGCATATTTTATCAAGTTTGATTTTTACATGCTTGGTTTTTTCTTTTATACTGGTTAAAAACTG